TTGATAGAATTTCGTTAAGAATTTTTTTTTAATAGGAGAGGAGTTTTTTTTTGATATAGAAATTCTTTTGAGAATTTTTTAATAGGTGGTAAGAATCTTTGAATTTTTTTTAATAGGGAAAATGTGTTTTTTGATGGAAGATTTTCGTTAGAAAATTTCTTTAATCGGGGATATTTTTTTTTGATTGAGAATTTCATTAGAGAATTGTTTGCTAAATTTTTTTATTTTTTTTGATGGAGAATTTTGTTTAGAAATCTTAATAGGAAATTTTATTAAAAATAGTTTTTTTAATAAGTGTATCGAGAATTTTGACTTGAAATTTTTTTTTTTAATAAAGAATTTCATTGGTGTGTTTTTGCTAAAATTTATTTTAGAAAACGAAAAATAACTTCATTTATTCTCTATTTTCTTAGGGTTGTTCTTGAGGACTTTTAAACTTCCTGATTGGTTTTCTTTATATTTAAGAAACGATATACATAAGTACCCACTTTTTTAGCGACAAATTTGTTAACCATTAACTGATATTAACGATGATACCTGTCTTGGTTATGCTCTTTCTTGTATGTCGGTGAGATCAAGGCAATAGCAGTATCATGTGAACGTGACATCTGAAAAATTTGTCTTTCTTTTGAATCTTCGCTAGCTTTATTAACCATCAACTTCAATTCAAATACAAATGTCATTTTATTAATAATTAATACGAAAAAAAATTATAAACGTTTGATTGCAAATTTTGTTTTATTGAATCAGCAGTTACTACTACATTTATTAGATGAGAAATAACATTGTAATGAAATTTTCTATGAATAGTTAAATCCAAGTGTTATTAGGAAAAGCCAGAATCATGAATCTATTGTTACATTATTATATTAGACCAGTAATATAAAAAAAATCAAAAAGTTTTTCTTATATGTTCATTACTTACCATTATGCGAATAAAAAATATAGCAAACTTCTTCAGCAAATTATTTACCTCTGCATATCTTCTTACTAGAATTACAAAATAATAGTGCTGTAACTCTTTTCGAATCGTCCATTGCTACTTTAATATCTTCTTCCTCAGATTTGAAAAAGGTAATATTAGTTGAGATAGAATTATTAAAGTAAAGTCTCAGCTCATCATTAATTTCATGATAAGTAGAATGGAGAAGCAAAGGTGGTTTATCATCTACTTCACTTTGTGTATCGAGCAAATGACAAGATAAAGTTTTTGATGCTGTAAAAATATCAACGGAAACTATCCTATCCTCATTGTCGTAAGAAATAAGAACTGTATTATTTACAGCCTCTTCGGAATGGTTTATATAACCAAATGTAGGCTTTATAAAATAGATTGAAACAATATCTGCGTCCTCGTAATATTTATAGAATGGAATAATTTCATTATTTAAACTATTAAACAACATATAGATGTTAGAATGGTGATGTACGCAGTTTTTATATTAAATTATTTAGTATACATACGAGATCAAATTAATGTTAGCAGTTTTAGATTTACGACTTGTTTGTTTATCCTGTTCCTTCAAGTTGTCTTGATCCTGTAAATATTGCAAAATAAATAAATGAGTAAATTAAACAAAATGGAAAAAATAAACTAACCCACAAATATACCTGTATTTGCTCGGGAATAATTGTAACACTTTGATATTCACTTGTCAACATTTTAACCAATATCTATTAATTTGCGATGTATCATAAACTGTCACCACCCTCCAAGGAGAAACGCTTTTATTTACAACTACACGAATAATTTTTCCTGTAAACTTCTGCTGGATAATTTTTAGTTCAGGTTCTCTACCGTCGCACTCTTGAGTTTCCAAACTACCCCTATATGTCTTCAGCTAATTTCGGTGAAAGTTTTCTTGCAAAAATACTATTCTTTGCGTGATGTGTCCAAGTATATTTTAAAAATGCTTTTTCTAAAGCAGTGTTGTCAAATGACACTGAAATGACATTGAAATGACATCAAATGATATTAAATGACATCGATTTTACTATGAAAAAGTATGAGAAATGACAAATGTCATTTGAAAATGGGCAAATGACATGGCAATTTAACAACACTGTTCTAAAGCGAGTGACCAATTTTCATAAAAAGTTCACCTTCCATACAAAAAAAAAAAATAGAAATCAAGATTTCAATAGACTTTGTTAATCAAACTTTTATTAATCTTACACGTAGTAACACAGATTGTAACTAATCAAAAACATCATTACATCATTATTAAATTTGAATCTGATCGGTTCCCGAAATTTGTATGTAGAGGTCAGGTCCAAACGGAATTATGATAATGTCAGTCATTATCTAAAAGAGGCAATAATATTTCGGCCTGCGCTATCTAAAAAAAGGAACGATCTACATGATTATTTTGGCTAATTCTACTCGGGTCCTGTTGAGATTTCAGTAGTCCTTCGGACAATATAGTTTTTTATATATTAAATAATTCTGAATCATTTGATTATCCAATTAATAAATATTACTTTTTACTACACTGAGTATTTATATCATTTGTTGTATTTTGTCATAATTAAGATTATAGAATTAATAACATAGTCGTCGATAAACCTGAGTCCCGTAATGGCGTAGCATAATAATCACATTATATAATCACATCTGACAATTGAGTGACAACAGACATATAAAACTGAGTTACCTATATTTAATAGATGTAAATTTAAAAATGGTTTAATAATAATAAAGTAATAACTATCATAAAGACCAATTAACCCACTGGTAAACAAGACTGTGACGAAAGTCCTATGCCCAGTGTTTCAGTCGAAGACAGCCCGAAGGGCACACTCTGTGTGGAAATTTCAAGGTATTCATTAGTTTAATTCCTTTTTTTCTTTTTTAAGAACAGTTGAGTTTGAATAAATCTAAATAACTACTGCAACTCGTACTATACGTTTGAAACTAAAGTATCAAACTAGTGGATTCTTGTTTAATTAGTCATGAATGTTAATGATTTTAAATTTATTTGTAGAGTTTTATCTTTATTATAAACCTCGATTGTTTCTTTATTTTGATCTTTTTTTCGATTTAAATTTTTTATAAATCAAAGTCGGACAATATTATTTGTACTATCTAGCATCTGAGTACAACGTCACTCGTAATCGTTTTATCATGTGCATTAAAGATTTTAGTGCATATGCATAAGATAATAAAAACTCATTTTTTTTTTGTTTCACAAATATGAAATAACGCTAAGAGAAAAAAATAATTAAAATAAGCAAAATTAAGAAAAAGAAAAACATACATGAATTTTTCTAGATAATTTAGATAATTGTAATTTCAAATCTATAAATCTTTAATTGACCGGTATCAAGGAGAAATTCATATAAATTTTCTTAAAACATTATTTTTATACTAATGATTGTTTTTTGATAGTAAAGAGCACTTGTTAATATTTATAAAATGGGATCCAATTTAAAATATTTATTTAACTGAAAAATTTGTTAAAATATTTTATCTAAAAATACGCATTATTCAGATCATTTTCCATTTTTTTTTTTAAAAAAAATATTTTTGGGACTAATTTTTAAACGTATTAATTATTAAATTCTACGATAGTATCAAATTTTCGAGCATGATATACGACTAATAAAATTATTTAAATTAGTAAATTTCGACATGACAAATTTTATCAATTTAATTAAAATTATATTGAATAATAGTTTTTTTAAGTTAAAAACTTTATTTCTATTTTGAAATTACAAATAAAAAAGGAAAATAAACACGAAAAAATATGGTTGTGTTCGTCCGAACTCCGAAAAATAAAAATAAAAAAGAAATGATATGAAATTTATCTATATATTATATCTATCGGAATTTATGTCATATTCTTCACAACTTGGCAAGTCAGAATCTTCATTTTCTGTTGACTCACTTTTGTTAGAATTAAGATTAGTTGATACATTATTATTTTTGGGATCAATAAGATCAATAGGATTAATACTGTCAAGTACTTCAATTACTTTGCAAATAGATGGTCTTTCATCTGGATTGTGTCGCCAACATTCTATTTAAATGAATTAAAATTATATTAAGTATTATTACTTCAGAAATATAATTATATTTTTATTTTTATAATTACCTTTATAAAGAGAAACGAATTTATCATTTGTGTTCAGAATAGGAATTTCTCTTTTACCATTAAGAATATCTTGTTTAACTTGAATAATTTCAAGTTTATCTTTATTTTCAAAATCAAACGGTGATAAACGACTTGTTAGTTCCCAAAATAATACTCCCAAACTATATATATCTGATTTTTCAGTTAAATCATATGAATGATTTTCTTCAAAAAATTTAGGATCCATATAGGGTATTAAACCACACACTTCGGTATGACTAACTGATCCTCTTTGACACGAACGTCCAAAATCTGCTAATTTTATTGTATCTTTATGTATTAAGATATTATTTGGATGCTAAAAAAAGGTGTGTTAATTACGTAAATATATAATTGTAATAAAAATTTGAATAAACTTACAAGATCTCCGTGTATGATTTCCTTATCATCATGTAACCACGAAATCGCACTCGCAATTTCTTTAGCGAATCTTACTTGGTTCATCCATTTAAAGGTTATAGTAATATTTCTTAAATAATTTCTTAATGTTCCATTATCTGCATATTCAAGAACAAGCGAATAATTTATTTCGTCTAAAAAATAAAAAACAAAAGTGTAAATTAATCATATTATATGAATTTAGCAAATAATTTATTATTTTATTATTTTACCTTTTGATTTCGTAACTCCATAAAATTGAATTATATTTTGATGAGGGTTAACCATTCCCATTAAATAAATCTGAAAAAAAAAATCATTTTCTTCAATAACAACATCAAAAAGCTAATTAACAAAAACTGTATGGTAACACACCTCATTAATAATAGCTTCTTTATTAAAACTCTTGTATTTTTTAATTGCGAATCTTGATGTACTTTTCCAATATACGTTATAAACTAGGGCGGAACCTCCGGAAGCAATCTCGGTAAAATTCCTGAAGTTTTGAGGGTCATAAGAATGGACTAACTGTACTATCTCATTATCCAATAATACTACTTTTAGTATCACACCCTTCGAGGCGCAGCTGTTATGAATTATTAATTTATACATATTGAGTGATTTACGTAATGTTTGGCGTTGGTGTGCATTGTTCTTTATAATTTATCTATAAATAGCGGATGGCGCGGTAAAAAAAAAACCATTTTAAGTAACGGCTGATTTATTCGTGTCGCAGTTTTAGGTCAACAATTTTAGTAATTGATTGGTGTTTCTTTTAGGCTTTAGGTTTTCGGGTGCGTTTGGACCTTCTTGTTTTTGATATTATCATGAATTTTTTAATAATAATTTTTAATACTGAAATAAAGCAGAATGTGTTTTTAATATTGACCGGAATATAAGAAATGAAAAATGTATATTTTTTATAATTTTAACAATGTAAATTTAGTCAAAATAAAAATTAAAGAATTTTTTAAACACCGAAAAATGATCAAAAGGAAAAACTGAAATAAAAGTGAAGAAGTCCGTTATATATAATTTCTACATTCCTATTGTGTTACGCTAGTAACGCTACAGCTGCATATTGCTAATCCTAATTAGAAGTGTAACCATCCATTTCAAAAATTGACATCGCACACGTATGTGTACACGGGATTGTGGAAATGAGAGGGATATAACTTTGTATTAAAACAAAACATTTCATATCTGATATAATAAATAAGTTTGAAAAAAACGAACGACAGCTTGCACTTAGGGTCAAACCAGTAACGTATTTCAACGAGTCGAACGTTAAACAAAATTGCGTCTTTAAAACTGAACCCAAATGCACAATTGTAAATTTAGTGTAACACTATTATACATTCGTAAATACTGTATACCTTGTGTTGGACATCTTTTTAGAATTTTATAAAAAATAGCTTATATTAAGACTAACACAGATAAACAATTAAATTACTAAAATAAATTTCGATTACAAAAGAAAATTCGAATATTTTTTTCATTATTCTGATTATATTAATTACAGTATTTAATTTTATTTTTCAAAAAATTGAGATATAATATTAATTTTAGTAAAATAAATAGATCGATTAAATTAAATACTGTAAAAAAATATATCGTATATTTGTACCAAAAAATATGTATATACCAAACTAATATGCTAATAGCACGGATGCTACGTTCAAAACTATGTAGCATTATATAAAAATTCAATAATGAAAAAATTTAGAGTCCGAATTTATTAAAAAAAAAATTCGAATTTTTTAGTTGCACAACTTTCTTGGTATTATTTAGCTTTTATGAACTTATGGTATACATTAACCAATAAATTTTTTACTTTATTATAGATTAAAGTCTCGTTTATATATCAAAGACTCAAAGTATTCAAAGTTTGATTTTTCACTACAGTCAAAGTGAACCCTTGGTTCTAATGAATATTCACAAAAACGAAAGATCTCAATTTTATAACATTATAAAATAATTTTTTCTAACTGAATTATTCAAAGCTTTTTTATTACTAATACAGTCAACTCTTTCTAAGCGCACTCTCTCTAAGTGCACGCATTATATTTTTTCTCCAAATGAACCATCTTACTCACTCACCCAGATCACCTATCACTGCATTAGTGCATCTACCAAAAAAGATATTTCCACTATGCAAATCTCTATGGATAATATCTACGTTATGTAGGTTAATAAGCCCATTTATGATATATTTCAAATTAAGTAACTTTTTTTCCCAATTAATATTATAAAGTCTTCACTTATTTAATCTGTCAAATTACCTACTCCATAACATGGCATAATAATCACAATATCTTGAGTATTAGGATTCCAAAAATATTTACTAATATAATATTGATTATTATATACAGTCATTTGACCTTTACGTGAAGTCAACTTACACTGTGTATTCCGTTTTGTATAATAATTATAGAATATCTTCAGCTAAAATAAAAAATTTTATTTCATTAATTTATCTATGATTTATTAAATAACTTCGTATAGAATTTTATATGTTACCTCGTGTAGCCCCTTAGATGTGATGTTTTTAGAATTATGAAGTTTTTTAATAATTAGAGTCAAAGTGTAATTTTTTACTATTCCATCCAGTAATTGGACCATCAGTCCAAGTAGCTTTATAAATCTTACTAAAACCTCCTTCAGCAATAAATTCTATATTTGTGAATTGATCATAAGGAACAAACATCATTTTCCCTTCTTCCTTGACAAGATTTGTTTGTGTATATCTGATAAAATCATCAATAATTTTGTTCCCACTAGGTTTAAATAATGATTTCATTTTATAACAAGTGCGACAAATCTTATAACTTTCATTTAAAGGTTTCCTTCTTTTATTACATTCATTACATTTCTTATATATCTTTCTTTTGAGTTTTGGTCTAAATGTTATCTGAATTGATGATGTTTCTTTCATTTGATATTAAAATATAACCTTTATTTATTAATTGGTTCATGATTATTTAATTCTTTTTTTTGAACTTATTTTATATATTACAATTATTAAATAGAAATAAGATTTCATATGATATCTTAATAATATTAAAATAGTATTAATTTAATGTTTAGACGATATCAAAACAATATTAAAAAAGGTCATTAAAATATAATCTTAGGATTAGAGTTTGTATCCGTCATCCGGATATCTGATTTTGCATTTATCCGTTAATTCAGATATCCAGACAATTTATCCGAATATAATTCGGGTATCTTAAATTATCCGAATATCCAAATATTTTTGCAGAGATAATTCAGGCTAAATTTATAATTCCGACCAGAATAATTATGACTGGTAAGATGATCATTTCCTTTTTTGGAGAAAGCATTACAAAATAATTTTTCTCAAAAACCGAAATTTCCTTTTGAAGATATTGTGTAACAGTAATTTCCAAAAAGGCAATAAAATTTAACATTATTCCGGCCAGCACTATAAAATTGGCCCGAATTACTGCCAAGCGGGAGGGCCATTAGATTATCCAGTTATTCAAAATTTTTGTATCTGTTCTGTGGAATTTTTGATTATATTATACTGTTACATTGTTCTTATAAGATTAATAAAATACAAACAAAAAAAAAATGTGAATTATTGCATGCATATGACATTATTTAAACTTTAATCTTAAAAAGGGAATATAAAGTGCAAATGGCATAACTTAATGGAACAATCTATATTATGCCACATTTTAGTAAAATGCATGGTTTCATTCTATATATAACAGATGTGAATATAATGTGCAACATTTCAGATTAGCAGCAAAAATAATAAATGAATAAATTATTAATGATATATTTTATAGTATCAACTTTCATAGCTACTTTATAGTTTATACTACTATTAATTTTTCATTTCATATCAATTTATGGAACTCAAATATATTACAATTACTGTTTATTATTTAACAAAATAGAATTATTTCGTACAGCTAGCATACAAGGACTCAGTGAAAAAGATTTATTTGCTTAAAAAACATTATTTTTAGTCAAATATTAAATCTAATTCTAACATGATAACACCTCTACAAACTCCTGGTATTAAGTCTCCTACAAAGGCAAATTTCTCTTTACCACCAAAAGTGACTAGTAGCTGTGACTATCTCATGTTGAAAGGTCTCTTTTTTTTCAAGTATTCCAAGTATGATTCTGGAACTTTATAGTTTCAATTTTAATTTTTTGATTTGGTAGTGACTCTGTGACTGTGCTGGCAGTATTAGTTGACTTACTAGTGATTTATCATAATCTCAAATTATAATTTGCAAATCATGCAAGTTTCAATTCCATTCAAGTACTTAATGAGGTGCATTATGCAAATGTTTTTCACATGCCATATGATAAAATTGGGAATATGACATATTTTTTCTGTCTCAATGTGGTAAATGTAGCATTAAGGTTTAAAGCATCTGTCCCCATTGGCTCAACTAGTATCAATAACTGGAAGGAAATCTTAACTTCTCATACTATTACTAGAGCTTTTATAGAGTTTTATGATGATTCACTTACTTGGAAGAATTACTAATTACAGATAGAGGTCCAGAATTTCAGAAAAAGTGTGAAAAGCTGATTATTTTCTTTGAAAAATTGATTGAACCAATAACACTAGCTGAAAAATCAGGTGGGAATTTACAGTCAGAATGTCAGATAAGTCAATAGCTTTTTTTAACAGTTTATATATCCACATTTTGCTTATTAATTGAAGGAAAGTTTGTAATACTTTTAAAGTTTGTAGGCTTTCTAATTGCAGTGTATACATGGTCTGCACCTGATAGTGATAATGATATTCCAAGTACCACCAGTGTTGCACACATATTATTCTTCTCCAGCTTATTCTTATAATTGAGGATTTTTTTGTTAGAAATAATTCACTTAGTTTGGCTTTCTTTAAAACCTGTTAATTCAATTTTGGAATTGATCCAGATGACTGTTATTGCATTTGGATCTATGAAAATATCAGAACTGCCTGTTATAATAGTTATTTTTCACATGGCAAACTTTTGGCAATTCTAGTGTTTTCTTAAAGCATGCGCAGTTAATAACTTTGCTCATTTGTAAAGTTTCATTCTTGTCTTCTTGACCTCTTTTGAGAACTATCTTTCACCTTTAGAATTGGCAGGTATGTAACCCAAAATATTTTGGCATCAGGTTTATTTTTAATTGACTAATTATATCTGATATTACTAATAAGTATCAAGTAATCAGGATGTTCACTGGTCCTTCTTGAATGATCAAGCATTTGAAATATAGAATTACTAACAATACATTCTTCCCATTGTGGTTAAATCGTCCAAAGTCATTTGCTGTTTGGTATGTTTAGAAAACATTTGGAAAATGTCTAAAATGTCCAAAAAATATACTGAAAAATGAAAGATTCCAAACATCTGGATAAAGTCAATATGTGAAAGATTCCAAAATATTATCTGAACAGCAAGGACAACTTCTGTCTGGATATATTCTGAAATTCCTTTTTGTAGGCATTATTTTTTTTCATTTTATTATCAGATAGTTATAAAACTGAGATCACCACAGGATTTTTTTAAAAGAGTTCTTCATGAACAGTACTTCTTATAGCATCCACTAATTATCAAATTCTTCAATCTAACTTACTTATAGGAAAAGGAAAAAGCCAAGGTTGGCATCAAATAGAATAGTATGTCATGTTCATGTTGACCAATTATTACTAGTATGCAAAGGCTTACTATGATGTTCATCTAAATTGAGTTATTATTTTACTTTATCTAATAGAAGTATATTAAAAGAGACCTTATGTACTTTTCAAATATTTAAGGTGAACTTTGATTGTACCATTCATCTTGTTGTTAATGAAAATGTTTACTAATTTTGACTTTGCATTTTCCCACTTATTATTCATTTTATTAAACAAAATAAAATAATTTTTGAAAAAAAAACCAGATAAAAAATTTAAGAAATATAGTTTCTGATTTTTTGACTCATTGACCTATGCAAACTCTTAAGACTCTTATCAAAAAATTTGCAACAAATAAATTTTTGTACTTCTTTAGTAAAAACTAAATAATCAATTTTGAATTGTTTTATTGTTTGATAAAAGAAATCAGTTTGTAAAAAAAATAGAAAACTATAAAAAGTTCACAAGAATTGATTATCAGTGACATGAAGTGTAATAAATCAGACATACTTTTGGACATCAAAAAAGCTGTATATGTTTAACAAAATCTCTTTAAAATAGTTCTTTGAATTAAATATGATTGGTTAATAATCATGCAATTGTTCAAAAATTACCAATTAGAAGCTCTCCCTTTAATCCTTTAATGTTTAATTTCTTTGTTAAACTTATTCATCAATTAATTGAAATGGCCTAATGCTGAAAAAAGGTTGTCACACAGGCATATGATACATTTCTTTCATCAACTGATAATTACGTACTTGTAAGACATTTTACAGTTAAATGCAGTATTAAATCTTTAATTGCTTGATAAATATTATTATTTTATGAAGTTGGAAATAGTAGGGCTTCCCTTCCCAGGAAATAAATGGGTAATCCCCTGGAGTGTATCACTCATTAAATTTAACATATGATTAACAATTTTTAACTATATTAAACTAAAATTAGGAAATTTTCCGGCCATCAATATGAAACTGGAAAATAATAAACTCAGCTTCACTCATAATTTTCAAATTTAGTATGAAGGCTATGTGACAGGATTACAGTTTTAATTGAAATTTATGTTTTACTCCAGCGTTAAATTCATTAATACAATAATTTAGAGAATCAATTATTTTTTCTCACTCTATGGAATATTGTCCAGACTCTAGAGCGTAGTGAAGGAATAATAATAATATTTTTTCGCTTCTTCAGTATACATTTTTTAAGTTTCTCAAATAATTTACATCTACCTTTATAATTTTAACTTTAGAAATTATAAGTAGACTTTAAATTTTGGTTTTTGATTTTTAATACAACAAAAGATTTTTTTATTATGCATGATTGACTCGCTTAAATAGTCAAATTTTTATTGATGAATGAGTGATATCAAGCAAGTTAAATAACTTAGATAGTTAGAGATTTATATGCCAGTTCTTTAGAATTATGGTTAGTATTAGGGTGAAGGGATTAGCCACGGCAAAATAAATCTGACTAACATTTTTGCGGGTGGTGCTAGGATTTTTCAAATTAAACCAAATACATAACTAATTTAATGTGATCAACAAGTTAAATAAGTATTACCAAATAAAAACCATCCAAATTTATTATATGCATGGAGTTAGCAAATTACGAACTTTTTTGTAATAAAAATACCAATTCTATTCTGAGATAATAATTGAACTTTTCAGGTTATTATTCAAAGATTTATTGGAAAAATAGAGGCCTATAAAAATTTATTCTGTGTTTTTTTAATCCATGTTATTTCCATAAATGTATCATTCACAGAATTTTTACAGAAATTACGGATAAAATTTTTTATAGGGGGGTTAATATGTTAAAGCAAGAGAACTGTGGGAGCTGTATTAAAAAAAATATCAAAAATATGTTAATTCTATCAAACGTATTTGAAATTAATGAGAATGATATCAGTCAGTGGAAATGTCACACAATCGATAAGGAGTTTTTTTGTACTATGATATCATAATAAAAATTTTTAGCGTAACATTGTCTTTAGGTGTATATTACGTATGTAAAATTTTATTGGCTAGAATTAGTTCAATTAGTTAAAAATTGACGATCTTTAAAACATAATGCTGGCCTGAATTTTTGTAACGCTGGCCGAAAGTTTCTCAAATTTATAATGCCGGCTTAAATTTAGTTAAAATCGAAAATTTTAAGTTTGGGTAACATCACATTTGTACAATGTAACACTATTATAAATAATTATTTGCATGTTCGTTAGGGTCTTAAAAATATTTTTATATATTTTAAAAATTCAAAAATTAAGTTTATTCAGTTCAATCTGTCCAAAGAAAGTTACTCATTTTTGTTTGTTTATATAGTAAATAAATAAAACTTTTATATTTTTACGAAAAAGGACATGTTTTTACAATGTAAACAGTTATTTACAAGTTCGTAAGAACTTTTTTATATTTTTAAATTTTATTCTGTTCAATCTTTTCTTCTTTTCATTATTTGTTTATTCGTATAGTAAATAAATAAAAATAAATTAAAGTTTTTTTCTCTTTGGTGCCATTTTTACGCGAAGTTAATAAATTTATAATATTTTACAATGTTGAACTTTGAAATTGACAATAATTCTATGTTACCACGAGAATTTGTATTGAAAAATGTTGGAAGGGATGGTGAAAACGAAATATTTGGAGAATTTTTTGAGGTGGATAGTTTTGACCAGCTTTCCTTTAGGTTTAGCAATGCGTTAAATGAAATGTTAGCTCATGAAAATGAAGAAGATAGTGAAATAGAATCATATGCGGGTTAATATGATAGTGAAATTGAGGCAGAGTTATTAGAACAAAACAATAATAGTGATGATGAACAAAACACCAACAATTAATTTGAAGGAGAAAGGAATGAAATAATTCCAAATGATATTGATGGAGGACCCACTTGCAAACAATCCAATGTACAATCTGTTTCGTCAATAACACCTTGTGTAATAATTGATAATATTCAAGGTACGATTAAACGATGTGGCGAAACTTACAAGCTTAGAAAGATACGAAATTTATATGGAACATAGCAAATAGATCGAGATGCAGTTCAACAAGTCAACAATAATTATTTAGGAGTTTGTGATTCACATTTTTTATATGATCAAAATCAAATTCACAATCCTAAAGATAAAATATCAAAAGAATTTACAACTTCAGATGCTATAATTCAACATCGAAGATGTATAGGATGCAAACAATATATAACTTTCTATAGCCGAGGGGGAAGGATGCAGTAACCATTCCTGGTTGGTTAATGGACGAAATGTTCAAGTACCCTGCAATGGATTGGTATATTGTAATGCATTGAAGGAAACTTTCCTGTCAGAACAATCTTTAAAAATAAATAAACCAAGATGTATCTGTTGCAGTTGTTATGAACGATTGGGCGGGCATATTCACAAACGTACAGGTCGAGGTAAAAAATCAAACTGTGATAGATTACATGAACAAGATGTCACAAAAGGAATCAATTTTATTGCAAATTGGCTTATTAAGATTTCATATACAGATGAAGATTCAAAAAAAAAAGAAATTTTGAATTCTATTGTAGAAGCTATTCTCCCTTTTCTCCCTACACCTTTAACTAAAACTACATCTTCATTGACAAAATCTGACGAAACTCTTAGCCTTTTCGTCATACAAATTCTTTTTCTTGATACATTTTCAAAAAATAAATTACAAGATGTTGATATAGAAACAATTAATTGTGAAAGTTTGGGACGAAAATTCGGAATTAAGCTCTGGAAATCACGTGAAGCAACAAATGAGAAAAAAGAATTACTGAGCTCACCAGGATCACTTTTTGAATATTATCATGCATTTCCGAATTTCATCACAGAGTTTTTTGGGGGAATGTTAATGGAGATCTATAAACGAAAACTAGCTGTTAATAATAGAAAAAGAAAACAACGAGGATAAGCCATTAAAACTTTGCCTGAAAATATAATTATGAAAATTGTTACATTTTTTGTTTCTGTTCTCACTGGTATAGCATTTCCTTCATGTAATATTTGGTTAACTAATGTGCTAAGCAGTCTGGCACGCAAACCAAAATTATTATCATCACTTCATCGTCTTCTGTCATTATGGAATATAGTAGGACATAGCGAACTTCATGAAAGAAATCTAGAAAATGAGCGAATTAATAATGCTGTTCCTACACAAAGATTATACCAAAAATTAGATATATGGAATCTTGCAGTCATAGATAACATAGATTTCAAACAAAAAACATTCTCCTTTGGAAATATATATGACACTACAAGAAACAGCTCACATGCAACCTTTAGAATGGCATTCCAATCAGTAATTCCTAATTATCTGGCAACGTGTCAAGAAGAATTAATTACCTTGGAAGAAGACAATCGTATATTTGGTATGAATTTTACTATGCAAGAAGCTCTGGATGGATTTCAAAGTATATTAGAAAATTTGCTAGATTTTCGAAGTACAAATGAAGGCAATTTAGAATACAATCAAAATTTTGATGTGGAAATAATTAAAAAAGCTATACTAGAGAAATTTGAACATGGCTGTAAAGGTTCTTCTTCCCACGTTGTAATTCTTGAACCAGGGGATAATCCAAATTCAGACCAAGCAATTTTAGGAGCTGCCACTATGTACAAAGCCGATTTTAATTTGCAAGATACTGCATACCTTGATATAGTTGCTGATGAAGCTATTTATTGTCGGTTAGTTAGATGCCAAGAGCAATGGCCTCAATTGAGACCATTGCTTGGACAATGGCACTCCTCCAAAGACTTCTGTTTAGTTCTAATTGTGTTGTTCTCTAGTTACGGACTTCTAAATTTAGCAAGAAGATTAGGTGTTCAATTTTTGGACAAGTTTGAGGCAGCTGTTGATTATCGAATGACATCTAGAGTCTTAGACTTTTTGTGGGTGGCAGTTGGAGTTTCAATTAATATATTTACAAAGAGAAAAAATATTAATTTGTCTGAAATAATGAACGAAAATACTGACACCAATATTTTTCTAAAAATTTGGTATCTTTATTATCAGTGGGCTGGAATATGGAAAGCATACCTAATAGGAATGAGAATTGGAAATCATAATTTGCAACGAGATGCTCTTGCTGCAGCATTACCTCTTTTTCCAAGTGCGGGTAAATCAAATTACGCAGTAGCTATCGCTCAACATCTCTCTACTCTAACTAAGTATCCAAAATTGAATGAAATTTTGCAACACGTTGGAGCATTTAGGATACCAAAGAACATTGATGATGATGGAAGTGAAAATCAAAAGCCTGTTTGTTTTGGTTTTGATGAAGCGCTTGAGACCTTTGGAGTTCATTTTATAAAACAAAATATTAGTGGAAATATTATTGATGAAATGAAATTAAAAGCAAATATTAAAGCAGCTCAATCAGAAAGAGAGAGAGTTGACCTACTCCTAAGCGAATATCTCGAGGACACTTCAATTTCTCAGAGTGAACGTGCCATCAATTCCAGAAGAAAGGCCTTATGGGAATTAGTAGAAGACTTAGTGATGATTTTTGACATGACAGATCCATTGTCACATCAGATTTTTAAAGATCTCAAGCCACCTGAAATACACAAAACAGGATATGAAAAATTACTTGCATGTTATGAAAATGGCTTGGAATGAATGCAGATAATTTACAAACAAGATGTGATAAAAAGTGAACCTCGAAACGCACAGGGAAGACGCGCATTAGAAGTTCGCCGAACAAAGTACAAAGACTATGCTGAAATAAAGAGAAATGAAAGGGAAGCAAAGAGAATTGAAAGGGAGACACTAAGGCGTGATAAAATACCTCTAAATAATGATCAACTGGAGGTATGCTGTATGCGCAAAATTTTGTGTGGACTTAAATCATGCCTAATTCTTCTACACATCTGCCACTTTATCTACATTTTTATTACAATAATAACCAGACTTCCAAAAGACGAAGAAAAGTACTTGCGCATGAAGAGCAAATACTGGAACGTCTGTTGGCTTATGAAAAGATTCCAAGCCATATATATGATGAGACGCTTCAATTACTTGGAGCTGAATGGGATAAGAAAAGGGTATATGGTTGGTGGAATTATCGTATTAATAAATAATAATTAAATCAAATAAATTCTTGTATTATTATTCTATAATATTTACAAAGTTAAATAAACAAGTTATTCTTGATTTAATTTATGTTTTACCTTGTTATCATATATACAAAAACGAAATTTTGCAGTTTTTACAAAATCGGCAGTCAAAACTTCAACTTTTTTTTACGTAAAACGAAAAATAGCTACGAAATACATATATCTGGGTGGTATTTACGAGCTTTCAAGTACGTTTAAAAGTTCAATCATCGACATGTAGGTAAAAAAGTGTGTAAAGTTTAAATAATAATATTTTTATTTTATATATTAAAATAACAAAAAAAATTATAAAAACGTGTCGAAAAGCATATAAAGAATAAACGGTAAATTTTTTTTTTTTTTATTATTATATATATATAGCTTAATTTACTTAAAGATTGATTGGCATGATAGGTTACACAAACTTTATTTATTAATGATCGTCAACTCATGTGACATTTCCGACGACTGATTATTTATTTTTTTATCACGTTTATGATTTATATTTTCAAATAGACAAAAATTATTAGATAATTGTACAATATAGAAATATTCATTATACATTAGAAATATTAATCTCGATGATAGATTTTTTTTAAGTTATTTGAAAATGTTTATCCTACTTATATAAAAATAGATATATCAGATATATGGTAATTATATTAAAATCTTTTTAAAATACGCCTAAAAAAGAGTAATGATTTGTGAGCTTATAATACTCTTAGTTCTTATTAATATCAGTCCTCCGTAATGGTACTATCTAACAATCTCGTTTATATGTCTTTTGGAGTTACGCTGATAAATTGATCAACTATAAAATATGGATCCGACTATCACGATCAAACTTATTAATGCTGTAAGCGGTGAGCTTGTTGTTCTAGATATTATTATTAATATGGGTTTACATTGTCATTTGATATGATTAAAATATTGTACTCATAAATATAATACTGCAATTTCATTTTGGACGTTGATCACCACAAAGAATAATTTCAATTTGAAACTTACTTGCAAAGTTTCCAAAGTTTCAGTGAGATTTCTTTTTGAGCTTATACTTAAATGAAAAAAAATTATTCTTATTGCTCGAATTATAAAATAATGCGTCTGCCAGGATGAGATGATCAGGACGATGATTTTTGGTATCGTTTTATATTATACAGAGATTGTGGTACCAGGTTTAGCAATTATATAAGAAGTAACATTTAACGCTTGAAATTTTGGTTACAGAATAATGTTATTTTCCCGAATATATCATTTCTCGAAATCATTTTCCGATTGCGAACTGGAAACTTTAATTTCTCTAATATTAATATCCTGAATGGACATTTTACTGGATTAATAAATGATGTGTAGGTTTAACTAATTGCGTTGTAATTATTATTTTTAAAATCGTTGAGCTATTCGAAAATAATTATTTTTTATTATTTATTTAAAGCAAAAAAATATATAACTAAAAAAAAATAGGAGTTAAATTTATTTATACTTGAATCTTTATAAAATCGAGATCAAAATCTTACTGTTGTAAAAGTTTGTAAGCGACCTAAGCTAAAAAATTAAAAAATTAAAAAAATATCGTAAGTATGGTTGGTACCGGTGGAAGAAAATAATCAACCACCACCATATTACATAAAAAAAAACTTCCGGAAAGGTTTGGATACCAAACAAATGAGCGATGTACATAGGCTAACCCTCATCCAGGAAAGCCAGTTTCTCCTCCCCTTCAACTTTTTTTGTCTGTAAGCCTGTTTTTTGCACACACACAAAAACACACACGAACTGGGCGAACTGGGCTAAGCAGGGATCTTTAGCTTACCTTAATAAATAATAAATAAATGGAATTTTTCATAAGTATATAGTTCTCCTCAAAACTTTCTTTATCTTGGAAGAGTCAGTTGGCAGGCAACGGTCTCTAACGACGCATAAAATCACTTACAACGCGTCATATACGAAGTCTCCACAGCTATATAGCTATATTAGACCTACTGATAACTTGTAAATAAATGTGTGAAAATAATTAAAAGTATTTTTTTGTTCTATTTTAAAGATGTAAGAAGTTTTTTTTAAAGAAATGAATAGAAGTAAGAGTGGGTGAAAGTGGGTGTATATATATGTTCTTATCTTACTTTTTTTATCAAGTCAGATTTCTGTTAAACTTTATAGAGACGCGATTATTACATAATATGTATATAATAAACTATTAATTAGACGCGATTATTACATGAAAAACTATTAACCAGACGTCCAGACGCGATTATTTACATACTGTAATATATGATAGTTTTAACCAGACGCGATTATTACATAAACTATTAAACTATAATAAACTAATAAACTATTAATCACCGGAATTTTGTGGACTTTAGTTGCTAATTAGGCTAAAACGGCTGAAAAGGTTAATTTTAGGAGATGAAATATTTCATGATTATTTAGCCACAATGAAATTTAGGAAGGATTGATTACGTAAGTTATTAGTAATTTATAAAAACCTGTTTTTTTATCAAGAATATCACTTCATTTAGATTAAGTCTACTATTTATATTTTTTTTAAAAAAATCATATTATGATCCTTATATTGATCATATATGTCAAACGTCATATTCTCATTATTTTCATAGGAATTCCCATATTAAGCAGAGCCACTTCTAAAAAAGAAGCAATCATCTGGTGTAAAGGACCATGTTTCGGTTTACAAGATTTGATGGATCCAGAGAAATCCAAGATATGGCAGTTATTATGGTATGAGCAAACAAAGATCTTACGAAAAGAAAATTATTAATAAAACAAATTTTAGGATAGAAGAATATGAAGTATTTCAAATTATCAATAAGAGCGAGAGATTCTCTCTTTAATCTTATTAAAAGAACATTTAATTTTTTTTAAAAAAATGGGTTAAGAAAATATTTAATTTTTGAGGAGAAAGGATCATTAAAGTCGTATTTAAACGTTAAATATTAACCTTTTCTGGCTTAGTTTTATTAAAAAGTTTTAAAATCAATTGTATGTGTTATTATTAACATATAAAAAAAAATATTCAGATTTAACAAAAAGAATTTTTTGAAAATTTGGTTATTTGATTTGGTCGTTAATAACTTAATACACTAGTAAAGTAATAATGTAAATGTGCAATTGGAGCTCGTTATATATTTTGTAGAAAAAACAACATGTCTTGTTTATCACATATTAAATTATATTAAATTTTACAGGTAAAAATACAATATTTGATATGTCAACTAAATAGCTTATATGAAAACATGATCTTGGACGTCTGCATAATAACATCCTATCCAATAACTAATATATAAATAAATAAACCAAAAGCCTTTTCGTTCGACAATATTACTGTAGCGTGATAAATATGTCCTGAAAGGCACAAGTGATGTTTTATTAGTAATTTTGCAGTTACCGGGGTTTGGTCGTTTGGCCGCGCCAATGATATAATAAATTAACTTTTAGACAGTTACAGGCAATTTTTTTTAACTAACGATAAGTCGATATTAATAAAAGAAAATTAGGTAAATTAAAAAGATTCTTTAAAAACCTTCTTCTCATACCTTAAATACATTAATATCTTTAATCCCACATATTAGTTAATTAACTATCAAACCTAACCCACTACAAGATCCGCTCTACCTTTCATATAAAATTCTAAAAATCAATCGCCCGTCGAAAAGCATCGTCGTTATCATCTATATGGTTAATGATATGAAAAAGTTAATATATGTTCGCTGTTCGTTAATCGCTCGTGGAATTTACGTGTTCAAGAAATAATAAAAACTTTTACTCATATTATTTATTCATACAAGAAAAATGGGCATGATATATTACATTAAAGAGAAATAGGAGAGTGATACTAATCTAAAAACCCAAGTTAATCTATGAAATATACCCTTCATTAAGGGAAAACTATCAACTATTCGCGAATTTTTTTTATTCGTTCGTATACAAATTGTATCATGTGATTCATGATATCTTCCGAATGTAAGGAAAAAAATATTATCAATTTGCAGATCCAGTGTGTCGAGTCTCTTCATGTCGAAGATTAAATCTAATATGAAATTAGAAATAAGAATGTAAATCCAATTGTAAAGTATGTGCAACATATGAAAGAAAGAATATTATTAAAAAAATCTACATTTATACATATAAATACAAATTTTTATACAGTATAACTTTAAAAATTAAAAGAAAGGAGAACCATTAAAAAATTGATTTGCGAATGGATCACTTGTAATTTGTAAAGGTAATTGTGTAATTCGGTTTAACATATTTATTGCACTTCTTCTGTGTAATCTCATAAATCTACGTCCATAACGTTGAGTTTGTCGTTGATTTCGGCGCCTTCGAAGAATAAGGTAAAAGGAAATGTGTAAATTCCTGTTATTTAATGGCATATTTATATATGAACTCACGACTTTAAAATTTAAGAAATTAGAAAAAGTGAAAAAAAAAGTGAAAAATATTTTTAAATCGAATTTAAGTGTATTTATATGAAAATGAATTACGTAGTAAGCATTAAAAACTGCTTTAAATAGTAAAAGGGATATAGTTAAAACTTAAAAGTGATACGATTGAAACAGCAAAGATTATGAATAAATACGTTGTGCAAACGTGAAATTATAATTTCTATATTAACCTTGCGTATATGAGTGAGTGATTTATATATTTTGGATTTATTTTCACTTTGAGGACTTTGAGACAAAATTTTCCTTCTTAGTGTTACAACACTAAACTAGATCCGTATTCTGATATAATCTATAAGCAATGGTTAAACAACATCAATTTAAATAGATTATGATGTAATGATCGGCATTTATATCATTAAAAGAATCCAAAAGTACTTTTTAAGATCCCAAACTTTTATTATTACAAATAGCAAGTGGAAGACCCCGTAAAATAAAGGACCATGTATGTAATAATATATTTTCAAATTTATGTATTTTATGTCTTATTTTGAAAAGATTTCATTATTTAATTAACTATTTAAAGTCCAACAAGTACTTAATTATTAATTTTCGTTTATTTTATTAATTTTATAAAATAAAAAGAATATTTTATATAGTTTATATGTAGTGAAATTATGAATCTTTAAGTGGCTATAACTGCATGTAAACATGTTGGATGCTCTCTCAAAAAATTAAGAATTGTTGAAATTGGATCACAGGAAGCTTATATATTAATTTTTAAGAAATTTATTATATTTTCGTTATATTGTTATAATTTTATAATATACATAAAAATAGAATAATCGAGATATAAACAAATACTCCCTTAAACATTAAAAAGATGCGATATATTGAATAGAAATAATCCGTCACTTTTTGTACTGATAATTTTAATATAATAATGCGCAATATATTTTTGAATTTTACGTAACTGTTATCGTCAAGAGGGCGAAAGTTGATCGAATTTTGATTTAAGAAATAAAGTAAACGAATAAAGATTACAATACGTTGATAGTAAGAGGACATCATTGTCAAGATCTTTCTCGTGCTTATTCGGATTCCATTGCTTTACCCAAGATGAAGTTCCATTACCTTTATTGATTTTTAATGAATAAAATGAATAAGAAGAAAGTATTGAACACAATATCCGTCAATTATTACATCTAAATAATAATGCTCAAGATGAGTCTAACATGTTAAAAGAAAAAAATTCAATCATGAAAAAAAAAAAATTTCCAGAAAATTAAATTCTATAGAAGAATGTAATTTCAAAATCAGAAAGAGTTATTATTTATTTTTATATACCGTATACACTACATAATAATATTTTGAACATAATTTTGTATTGTTTTATTCTTTACAAACGTATTCATACGGATTATTTTGATTTACTTTCCCTGATGTCAAAAGAGCGTTATATGGTTTGAGGAAAATATATTAAAAGTGATTCGTGAACGCTGCATCTTTATGAATTAAAGTGATACAAACAGTTTACGGTAAGTCAATTAATCACAATTCGTTAAATTATTGAAAAAATTAGAACGATTTATACTATGTATTAATATCACAATTTATTAATTATTAAAGAATGCAATAAAGCTTGCTTGTACGAAAATAATTTTCATTTCGTGTAGCTGTTCTTCATACGTCACATGCAAGAGACAATTTTAGACACAATTGATGAAGATCTCATAGTTCCATATAAACTAATCAACACTAGAAAATTCTTGCATTGGTGCCACCACTAGCTAGTTTGATAAAAATTCTGATAATTCTCGAGTTTCCAAATAAAAACAAAATCAATAACAATATGAAAAGTTCAAGAAAGAAAATAATTTCTAGTATCGAATTCCATGTAAATTCTAAATTCTACCTTTAACTATAAGGAACCAATTAAAATAATAATTTCCCATATAAATCATTTGTTCAACTAGAAATGAAAGAGATTTCTAACAGTATGTAACGTGATTCAGAGTTTTGTAATAAAGTTTAAGGGATATTTTCTTTGGACATGATTTACATAGAAATGATATAATCTTGTTCGTCATCTTCGAAAAGTAATAACAAAAATAGGAATCCGTACTATTTTATTTATAATGATTATTTCAGATACCATTCACAAAATAACACCATTTTTTTCGTAAAAAATATTCTATATCTTGTCTTCTATGGTACTTTCGAGGGATATTGATGAGAATGTCAAAAGATTTGTGATTAATATCCTAATCAGTCATGATTATGATTATGATCTATTGGCTTAAAAAAAGATTTTCGGAGAGATCAAAGAAAAGTAATGCTGTCCTTTCTTGTGTTCAATGATTTACACTTTTGAATGGATGGTAAAATCTCTGACGAAATGAGGATGTTTTTTAAATCTTATGGATGAAAGAACGATGCAAATATTAACGAATGTTGAGATGAGCAAACCTTTCTAGAAAAAGCGTTACTCGCCTCAATGTTTCTATACCACTTTTATCCATAAATAGAAAAAATTAGGAATCGGATACATGACAGATTTGATCATTAAGAGGCTTTATTATATAAAATACGTGGAATGCAGCGAGTACAAAAAAAAATTTTTATTTTCGTAGTAATAATTTGGATGTTTAGCTAAAGTTGTAAATATAATTTCCTATGACAACTATAAAAGAAAATCCAATTGTTGTTGCTGATGTTAATTACCATTTTACCATTTTCTTCATCCACATTTCCTTCGTTCACTAATAAATCAAAATTTACGTGTTCTTTTTCGTAAATTTTTTGTAAAATTAGATCAATGGGTACAACGCCGGACATATATTTTGAATCTGAAGTACTTTGGTAAATTCCCCAAAGACCATCGTCGTCGTAAACTGGGGCACCGGAGTCTCCAAGATCACCTAGATATAACAGTCAAATATTAAAAAAGTAAGGCTAATTGAAAAGGGAATTTAGTAAATAATGACTTACCAAAGTGGTTAGTAACTATGAGCATTTTAGCATACGTATCTTTTTTAAACGTCTCAGTTACTATAGCTTCTTGCATTAAATTCTCCATAATCCCTGCGGTATGTCCCGTTGTTCTACCTACTTTTTGGACAGGTATAATATCTGACTCTTCATAATCTAAAGTAGAATGGAGTTCCTCAATGATAATATCTGATCCACATGGTTTGTTAGTAGCAAGTAATCCACGTTCATTATCGACCTCACAAAAAGCGAAGTCTAAAAGTTGTCCATGTTTATCAATACTTAAATCTTTATATTTGGTGACTGTAGCACAACGGGGAGTATCCTGTACAATGATGTGAATTAGTGAATTAGTATTAAAACGAAAGATCATGAAAATTTTTTTCTTTATCAGATACATACTATATCTATATTATCTATGTTGCCTGGTCAGAGCTACCGACCTCTTTGACTCCATGATTTACAGTTAAAAGATATTTTTTTCCTGATTGACTTTCTGCTGTGAAAAGTGTGCCTAGTGTGAATGCTTCATAACACTTTGAATCGCTAATACTTATTCCTGGTTTGAGATTTTCATGATATTTGCGACATCTGTCACTAGTTTCACTAGTTGAAGCTTTCATAGCTCCATAATCAACTATTACTGGGAAACCATTGTACTCGACAGGTAAGTTATAAACCGGAGTTCCTCTTGGCAACTTTACTGTGGCGAGAATATAATCCTTTCCCTCTACTTTTCCTGGACATGTAATAGACAACGGAACCTTGTTTTTATATTCTTTCATTAGATGCCTTGAGGCAATTCCGATTTTTTTATAAAGATCCAAGTCTTCAACTGCACGAATTCTGCGATCCCCAACTACCGGAACTACAAATGGACATTTTATATTATTATTGTTATTAAATCTTTTTTTCAATATGTAAAATTGATCATACCGATATTCTTGAATAAAAGCTTTAACCGTTGCAACCCAGTTACATAAGAATGCAGCTCTTTTTCAATTGATAACTTCTGCTCAAGTTTACTAAGTCTTTCAATAATTTCATCGAAATCTGCAGATATAGGATCAACAATACCGGGATTGTTGACTTTTATTTTCATCAAATTATTGAATGACGTGTAGTCTAATTCATTTTCATCAATTTCTAGGAGGGCAACGAGTTCTTCATCTCGCTCATTAGGCCTATCCAAATGATAAACGAGTTTACTTACAATGTAAATAATTTAGGAATTATAAAAAAATGCAAACTTACGTCATTTCATTTGTTCCATCTGTTCTATCTTCTGAATCAGATTCATTGTCTTGAACATAACGATAAAGATATTCCCTAATAGTTTTTCTTGCGCTTTTTTCTTCACCTTTTTCTAAAAAATTGGTATTAAATATGTATCGGTGGCGCCTTTTTACGTAAGCACTGACATTTCTTATTAGTTTTTTTCCATATTTATTTATCCCATAATCCGGTATATTCTCAATTTCTTCATAAAGTAGTGATTTTATTGTTGTATGACCTTTAATCGAGTCTTTTTTAATCGCGTTATCATAATATTCACTGTAACAAAGGGGAGTACTAATTAGTAGTAACATAATACTCCATTACCTGCTCAACGTTTTATTACTTACCGTACAGTTTTGGCTGATCGTAATTTTAACATGACGAGAAGACGAGAAGTAAAAATACCAAAAATAAATTTCAGTTTTTTGCTTTATATTTATATATTATTGTATAGGGAGGAGCAATATCACTTATTTGGGATAAAATTGACAATTTTTTTTTTTTTAAATAACAAATGTTTTGGATCAGATGAGAAAAAAATTTCAATTTAGTCCCTTTTCCCTTTTCCCAGCACTCACCCCATTTTTCCATGTCGTTTTATTTACTTTTCTTTTTTAAGAACAATTGAAAGTCTGATTCATTATGAAAAAAAATTATTTATTATTATTCAGTAGGAAGTTTACATATGGCTTTGTGATTAATTGATAAAATAGTTTGGCGTAATTTTAATTATTTTAAATAATTTTATTGTATTACTTATTGTGACATACATAACTTCATAAAAATTGATTCGATGATCAAAAATAGCAAGAGAAGTGAACTGAATCAATTTATATTTATTGAAATAATAAAAAATTCATATAATGAACTTTATAAAAAACTGTTTTATTTTACTATTGAAAAAATAGTAACTGTTTCATCGTAAAAAATCAATTAAACAAAAAAAGAGAAGATCGGAATTATTTAATTATTAACCTCCTTATAATAATTCCTTATAATTAACCTCCTTATCAGATAATTCGATAGATTTTTTTTTTGCCGAAATAATAATAATGATCATATCCTGGAATGCATTAGTTCATATCTCGAAATGAAAATTTGTACATTTTTATAGATTAGTTAGTGTGCACTTTTATATGGATTAGATTTTGCATTCAATCTAACCAAAATCCAAATTTGGGTGAAAAGTCAAAATTATGTTGAAAAAAAAATCATAAAATAAAAAAGGAAACATCTTTCCATTTTTGATTACCTTTTTCTCTTTTCGTAAAAAAACATTTTATTTTTTTTTTATATATAATTAAATTTTTTTATTATGTATCCGAATCCGCAGATCACTATTTACAATTGATTTTCTCATTAAAAGTGAGAAGGAAATCACTTCCTTATTTTAACCTAGTAAAAAAAATTTTGAATTGAAAAAAAAGGATTGTGATAAAGATATTTGACTAATCTAAAAAAAAAAGGAGAACAATATAATATCTTTAATTCAATTAAAAGAAAAAAATGTCAATATGAACATTTTTTGATTGATAGAAACAATGGCTACTCAACGAATTCCAAATAATTCAACTATTTTACCATATCCACAACTTCCTAATTATAACCCAATGCATCTATTACATCATCAATTTTCTTCTAATAATTCACATTAAAACTCACTTAACGAATCGGATCGATTGATTTTTATTAAAATCTATCGATTTTTATAGTATAATTAATTATATACCGTAATAAAAAAAATTGAATTTAATAATAAAAAAAACTGAAAACATTTTTTTTAAAAAAAAAATTCAATAATTAAAAAGCCGAAACCATTTAAAACCAAAATATAATAAATTTTTTAAAAATCAGTTTTTTAATAATAAAAAACCGAATATAAAAAAATCGGGGTTTTCAATAATAAAAAAAAACTGAACAATAAATTTTTTTAAAAAAAATCGATTTTTTTAATAATAAAAAAACTGAACATAATAAATTTTTTAAAAAAATCGGCTTTTTTAATAATAACAAAAAAGCTGAACATATAAAATTTTTTAAAAAAATCAGTTTTTTTAATAATAAAAAAAACCGAACATAATAAATTTTTTTAAAAAAATCAGTTTAATAATAAAAAACCGAACATAATAAATTTTTATATTTTAATAATAAAAAAGCCGAAATTTGAATTTCTTTTAAAAGAAAAACTGAATCAGATTCAAAATCGGATTCAGATCGGATGCAGATCAAATTTAATATGACTCAGATCGGATCAAGTTTTTTATTCAAATTTCGGATCGGATCAAATCTTATCTAAATCCAATCTGATTCGATAAGACCCAGAAATATATATAAAAGGGTCAGGTTTGAGTTTGCGTATTTTGAACTAAAAAAATCATGAAAATCATTCCTTTTTTAGATAATTTCTGATAATGCCGGTTAGAATTTTATTTCCTATTATAGTATCTGACTGACATTATCATAATTCCGGCCCTGAAAAAATGCGTACAGCTCACTCATAGTAAAAAATTTTTTTCATCACCTGACCCCTATATATATATATTTTGGGTCCTGATTCGATCCGTGCGGAACTCTGTACATTCAACTATCCTAATTCATCACAATTTGTTACATCTTTAAGTAACACTAATTGAAGAAGTTCAAAACATGTTGCATCAGAAAAAAAAAGTAGGAGCTCGTATTGATACAAAACTCAAACCAAATTCAGCACAAAAAGTTATGGGTTTAGCTGTAACAAGTTTATTAGAAAATTCAAAAACAAATAAGTCTGGCAATTCTAATAATGACATGAAATTATTCCTTCACCATAAAGTTTATCCAATCTTATATTATTAACTAGGATTTCTGTGAAATTTTCTGTTACATGGTTTTAAGATTCAAAGTCTGACTAATAGTATTTTAGCATGTATAAATTTAGTGTATAACGATAAATCTTAAGGATCAAAGTATGATTGGTATGTGAAAAGTTTCTTAGCTTTTTTTAATATAAAATATTTTTTTTACTTAAATTAATAACTCACATTTTTCCTAAATTAAAAACCAAGAAATTAAATTAAATGCTTACGGCAGAAAATAATATCTATAAATCGTCTTTTTTATAATATTTTGCTCTACCATCAATCTATATTGTTTGACCGAATCACGTCGTGAATTCGTTGAACAAACAAGACAACGATTACAGGTAAGTAAATCATTATTTTTTTCTTTTAAGAAATTATTATTAAAATATATTCACATTTAATTTAGGAAATTCGATTAACATTGGATGACCAATCATGGGAACAGCGGGAACAGGAAAATCATACCTTATCATGGCGATCCGAAACATGCTTCACGAAATGGCAGGTAACGAGACTAAGACTCCACTACTTGTACTTGCACCAACGGGGTTGTCGGCCTTCAATATCAGAGGGAGAGACTTACAACAGTTACACAGGTATGTAGATCACAAACGTGTATCACGTGACCATATGACTCGGGCCGAGTTTTTGATATTTTAAGTCCGGGCCGGGCCGGGCCGGAATCATAGTATTTCGCTATAATTGGAATTTATTGAAAGAAAATAAAGAAATTATGTAAATATATTATTTTGTGAAATAAGAAAAAAATTAACGGAATTACGGAAAGTATATTTTATTAATAAAGGAACTCTCCAAGGGAATTTCCAAAGCTACAATCTGAAAGAAAATCGAAAGAGTTCAAAAGATTTTTATGACCTTCTTTCCGCATTAGTGATAACAAAAATCAGTGGATGGAATATATTAGACGAATTAAGTAACTTACAGCAATAACAGCATCATCTATTTCGAAGTTGAGTTCAGATATTATCGAATATGTAGAATTCACAAGTTAGAAAGAATGCTGGCGGTTCCGAATTAACATTGCAAATTAGTTTCGTCCTGAGTCGTTACTTAAAATGAACTGAACGTAGTTAGGGATTTGTCCCAATTTCCATCCAGTAATTTTCTTCGAACCCATTATGACGTGATCTTGGGTCACGATCTCATGATCTTATATACAGTATGTTGTATATTCGAGTACTATCAGCCCGTTTTAAAAAATGTTTGTTATAATTAACGTAGTTAAAAATGTATTCATATTGTGTCCTTCACTCAAACTATCAATAAAGAATATCGATATGGTTTAACTTGATTTTAAGTTTTGCTTATTCATCACTAAAATAAATTTTTATGTATGATATTTATGTCTTGCTTGCAAGAAATATTGACCTAATTCAATTACAATGTAATCCATTGCGTATATGGCTAATGAGATTGGAAATCTTTTATACCCGTATTATCTGTTGTTATTAATCTAGTGTAGCAGAGTCTAGTATTTTCTTGTATTTGTTAAAGCATCTCATAAATCACACCGTAAATAAAAATGCATCTCTATGCTTTTTCGGTTAAACGTCCGATAGATTTCTTTCGATAAACGAAAAAATGAATATTAACATGGATTTCTATGAATAGGTTTCATTTTTTATCCCTTTTATAGGTAGGACAGGACACTGACAGGCTCATGACATTATCTATTTAATTCTGCAACATACGATAGGATATCCAATAAATATGTCAATTATAATACATATTTGTGATAAAATACATATATAAAAAACAGACACATATTTGTAATATTGCAAACGTCCATGAATATGAAAATTCGAAAATCATTGACTATGGCGCTGCTACGTTGTGATATATAGCTTCTCTTCACAACGTTCTATTCAGGATCCTGTCACCAAAAAAAATAAATTTACCTTATTAGTCTATTTACTTATAATTTGGACTTCTGTTTATCAATTTGTCTTTATCATACCAAGAATTGTAGAAATAATAATTAATAAAGTCTAATTAAAAAATTTTTATAATAATAAAAAGAAACTAACGTTGAACTTTATTCAGTTTAATAAGTGTTGGGAATAATATTACCGTTTATTGATTTACCACGGTTAACAAAACTATGATTGTTTGTTATAGAAGTTATGCGAATGATGTGATTTATGGTCAAAATTTGTACGGAAGTGACCTTGCTCCCAGAGACTCGGAAATATTCCATTATTAATAAAAAATGAATAAAGGAATCTTTCTTTTATTAACATCAAATTTCATTATTTTTTTTTTAACATAAATATTAATCAATTGAATCCAAATGAATACAAGTTAATAAAATAGAACGATAATTAATGAAATAAAATCTTTAATGATATCTATTTAAAAAATCCTTACATTCTTTTGAAATTCAGCGCGAAGAGGTAAAGATTAATCTTTATATAATATCTATTGAAATAATAAAACCAATCAACTTATTTCGTCCGATCCTTTTCACTACCACTATCATGATCTGCGTCTTCAGTGTTAAAGCTTAAATTCTGTTATA